GGCATGAGGACAGTGGCTCTGGTAATTGTGTTAGCACTGGCCAATGTTGAGAAAATTACGTGCCTGACTGAAGTCACAACCAGTAGAAAGCGGGTCTTGGTTTAGAACAACAAAGTAAAGTCTAAAATTTAACTTGCTTTTCTAACAAAATTTTGTTCCCAGTCTTATTTACTTTCTCTTTTTAACAAAATAACTTTATATTCTGACAGAGTCTGGGCACATAGGTCGTGACCACAGGCAGGACCTCACTTGACTCATTTGACTTCACTGTGGTAAAGGTGGAAAGAAAATGCTTCTTACTGCTCATGTTAAGTCATCCTTAATCTTAGTTTCAATGAGCACAATTGTCTACACGCATTGAAGTCAAGTGCTTTATGAGAGTGTTATTTATAGTTCCTATGGTTGCTTTCATATATTTGCAGAAACACATTTTTTTTTTTTGAAACAGGGTTTCACTATGTCACCCAGGCTGGTCTCAAACTCGCAGTGATCCTCCTGCCTCAGCCTTCCAAGTTCTGGGATCACAGGTGTGCGCCACCATGCCTGGCCTACTAGAAACACAATTTTTAAAAGGCATGTTTTTAAAAAATAAAGACCTAAAGACAGCAAAAGTAGCAATAAAATGTCATAAATTTCACTAGTTTAAATATGAATGAATAAAGTATTTTTGAGCTAATTCTTACAAACAGCCAGCTCTTTGAACAGTACACAACTGAAAGATCTCAGGAGAATCCAGCAAAATAGCACCTGTTGAATGTGTTATGAATGAATCTTTTTATAGGAAACATGCTAATTAACTTTTAATGGTTTGGATAGTCTCTGAAAGGAATGTAAAGTAGATATATTTATAAGCATAGTGAATATATACCAGTACGTTGATTAATAGTCTTAGAAAAAGCAAAGTCCTATTCATAAATAACAAGTCATGTTAGTTGAGAACTATTCTGGTATGTAAACATTTTCTGTGTTTTATAGTGAAACTTTATACTATTTATGTATAATTTACAGGTAAAGGTACAGTTCTTTACCTTAAAGGCTACAAAATACAATTATTGCTTTAATATGGCAAAAAATTGATTATGCAGAAACTCTCTACACTGAGGAAGTGGATTAGATAGGAAAGACAGTGAGAAGTCATGAAATAAGTTTTTAAAAAACAGGCATCTTTAATTCTGTCAAATATGTTAGCAAACAAGTGTTACCAAGGAAAGATCTCTGAGTACTCTTCCTCATAAGAATGTCTAACGTTGTTGAAAACAGTGTGAACTTTTAAGTAAACAACATTTCCCCCTTGGTTTGGTTGACAACAATACTTTTGGCAAATGCTGCCACTTATTTCAAAGGGAAATTACAGTGTATATATTTTCACATTTTCATCTCTTGTGGCTATTTTAACAAATGCTACTTGTAGTTTTATACCCCTGATAGAAGTACTGCACATTATAATTTTTACCTCTCTTTCCTAGTTTTTAAAATAATAGTATGAAATGTACCAATTTGCTTTTTTTTTGGTACCAGGAATCGAACTCGGGTCCTTGCACTTGCAAGGCAGGTGGTGGAACCAGTGAGCTAAATCCCTGGCCCCCAATTTGCTTTGATGTACACAATAAAACCTGAATATTCAAAAAATAGGATAGATGTATTTTGCAAAAAGCAAATTACCCCGTATTATGTATAGAATAACCCACTGTTATTGTTTAACAAACCCTACATGAGGGAGGATGTGTCTGTAAGTGTGTACACATACAATGGTATATAAATGTAAACATACATGTACCCGCCAATTAAAATATGGTGAAAATTGAAATAAAAATGCAGTTGTACTATATAGTAAAAATCAACTCCTCAGGGCCGGGGATTCAGCTCAATGGCATCATGCCTGCCTCGAAAGTGCAAGGTCCTGAGTTTGATTTCTGGTACCAAAAAAAACCCAACTATTGAGAACTTACCAAACTTCACAATAGTTAGTCTGTTAGTTGGTTTAAAATTTTTATTTTGGCATTCAATAAATTTGCTAAGCAAGGTAAACAAGCTTATAAGATTGCTTAATATTTTAAACTGCTTCTAAACATTTGAAACTACTGTGATATTATCAGATTATATAGAAATAAATGGATATGCTGATAAACTTTACAAGTCTCATAATGAATGGAAGAATTTAACCTGACTCATTCCATAGGAATTTGAAACTCTTAAATGTAAAAAGAATTACAACTGCATTAAAAATGAATGGGTTCATATATGAAAATAAAGAGAAAAATCATGAAATTATAGTTTTACCCCATTTATTGTACAAATTGCTAAGACTTGTGGCAATAGAATTCTGACCATACCTACTGCTTTCTTTGGGAGACACTTCTGGCTAGCTCTGGAAGGGATGGAAAACCTCCAAAAAGTTTTTAGCACTGTGATACTCATGGCAGAGGGATTACCATGACAGACAGTGCAACTGTGCTGGCTCAGCTCAGGGCTAGTGAAGTAGGTCAGATTCCTCTCATTCCAGCTCCATCAAAGAGTTTCTAGCATTGACAGCCTAATGCCACCCTCCCTCCTCTATGCCGGTGGAAAGGTCTGAATGGCCAAATACTTGACTTAGTACAATCCAAAATGCTCCTTTCTATTTGTTCTGGAAGAGAAATACAGTATGGTGGGAAAAGGATTTCACTAGAGTGTTTCTGATTCCAGAACTGTTCTTGTCCAACTGTGCGATTCTGAGTAAGTTAATTCATCTAGTTTTGTCAACTAGGAAGACAAATAATTTGTCTGGATGGTCCCTCTAGGACCTAATATTGCCATTTTATGATTCTGACAGAGATGATTCCCATGTCATATTTATTATATTATTATCATAGTCCTTCAGCTCTTTTTACTTTGGAAAGATAGCAACATTCCATATGAGAATTCCATATAAAGAGAAAAGCAACAAAAGTGTGATTCTCTTAACTGCTCCAAAAACCTCAACTGGAAAATATTAACCAGAAAGGATCCTATATGTGTAGTTTAAACTTTCTGTGTTACACCTTAACTTCCAAAGATAATTATAGCCATTCTTTAGCTTTTGCTTTCTCCAACTCATGTGAAAGACATTTCTCAAAGCTGTTCACAGATGATTGTTTATGCCATGCTCTCCCTAGTTACAAAACTTTTTTTGATGATTCCATTCATTAAATCTCCCTAAAATTACATCTCTTTTATGAAGCCCACAGCACCACAGTATATGTTGGTATTTTAAATTTATGCCCTTAATTCACTGTGTTATATATTATTCATCAGGCTCTCATTCTAATATAAAATTACTGATAAGCTAGTAGGCAGATGCATTTCTAGAGTACTAGAAAACCATAAGAATCCTCATGGACTTGGTGGTGGTGGGGTTTGATGTTTCTGCTGCTTTTTTGTCTTTAGAGAAAAACTTCTTTATTCCTTGCTTTCAATGTTTGTTTTTTTTTTCTTTCATGACTGTTTTTCTTCTCTCTTAGAGGAGAGTCTATTCTGTAAGGGGCAGCTGTTATAAAGGAAATGGGGTGATTGTGGAGGCTACATAAGTATGTCATATGTAAAGCATAAAAAGCAAGTCAGAAAACAGCATCTCTGCTGTGCTTTTTCTTGACTTTTTACTTTAAAATATCATTTCTTGAAGATACTGATTATGAGACTAGCAACATGAGCAAAAGGTGTGGCTTTCACCCCTATAGAAAAAACTGAATAAAGTACTACCCAGCCCATTCCAGAGAATATGTGATAGGTGATTGATTATGAGGATTTTATAGACAGCGGGTTTAATACTTGCAAATATACTAGACAGAAATTATTAGTTATTTGTTTGTCTGTGTAGGATTTCTGAAGAAGTGATTTATGCTTTTTTTTTCTCCCCGAGAGGTCCCCACTGAGCTCACAGTTGACTGGGGGATAGCTCAAAATTTAGGTGAGGACTTATTTCCTTAATGTTTCCAATCTTATAAAACTTCATTAAAGAAGACTTGACAATTTCTTCTCTTCTTTCATCTGTCTTCATCAGCACAAGGGTACAACACAATTTTTAAGAAATTGTAGGTATCTGAGCTATCCTCTCTTAGGTCTCTTGACACTTTGGAGTTGGGAAAATTTGATAGTCTTCAACAGATATTTCTCTTTCTCTCTCTCCAGAGCTGATAACCAAGAAGCCTCAAGTACATTAAAAATGGCTTCCTAGTTATCTGCACTCAATTATTCTAACATCAAGAAAGCTTTCTTTACAAACAGAGAATGAAGACAAGTGGCAGACTGCAAGGAGCATTGTGGTGGACTTTGCCATGCACAAGGTCAGTGCTTCAAAAGACCTTTGTAGGGAAAAAAATATTGATTCATAGTGTTTTCAATTTTGCTATAATGGCGTGGGATTATATTTTTCATTTCTAGCAAAAATTGCTTCCTATACTTAGAAATGCAGATTAATATTTTTGTGCATATTATAGTTAAAAGTCTATCTCAGAAGTTTTTGCTAGACCTATTACATCACACATGCCACATTATAACCTAAAATTCTCAACAATTAATAATGAAGAACTGATTTTTCATGTAAATATTAAGACAATAGATTTGTACATTTGAGACAGATGGAAGCCTTTTCTTTCATTCTTTTTGTTCTTTATCTTCATGCTTCATTAGTCTTTGAGGTTTTGGTTGAACATTTAATTTTATGTGAACTACCCTTAAATTTATAATACTTCTCCAAGAAAAGCAAGACACAAATGCCAAGAACTATCAGATAAAATTATAACTGCCACATGTCAAAAACGCTTATATGGAATACTCATTACCATGCAACATAATTTTCCTCTTGGTTGTTGCTTTTATAAATTTTCAAATATGCAAAGAAACAGAGAGCCATTTAGTTATCAAGCATGCTGAATTTTTAAAATCACATGAAAGGAGTTTCTAATATTATGCGATGTCCTACAGTGATCTGGCTACAGGATACCTTTATAATCAAACGCCGGCGAATAACTCGGGTAGTGACTCTCCGTTCCTCCTCTGAGCTTGAATCATTTTCACTGTCTTTCAAGTCCTGATAAATGCATTTTTAGTATAATTTTACCATCACATTTTAAAATAAAAGACATTCTGAGAAGAAAAATCAAGAAAGAATTATATTTACTTGCTGTTTTTTTTTCTTCACTAAGGAATATCATGATATATATTATTGAGAATCCTAAAGTTTAAGTGGAAGAAACCTTTTCTTCTGGAGGAGCTAGGGATTGAACTCAGAGTCTCATGCATGCTTGGCAAGCAGTCTATCACTGAGCTACATTCCCAGCCCTAGAGGAAGAAAATTTCTAAGCAGCATTCAAACTACTCTGTATGTGCAGATAAATATCAAGGTAATTGATTCTAATTTATTAAAAATAATTATAGAACATTTTTAGCTTTTGAAATAAAATGCCACTAGTTTGTAGAAGCATTCATATTCCTTTTAAAAATAGTTTTATATTTATATTCATTTGACTTAAAGGTATAACCTTGTAATTTGGGCCGCATTTCACTTTATCTACAGAAAGAGGTATATTTCTGATTTTTATAAAAATTTGGTCAAATGTGGTAACTTTATCTAAAGCTGTTTTGATATTTACACCAGCATAATTTGATGCACATTTTGTATAAAGAGATTCTTATGAACAAAACTAGTAGCAGAGTTTAGAAAGAATAATGTAAGACATGAAAGCTTGAAGTCTTTTAAAGATCTGATATGAAATTAGAATGAAAAATAGACTTCAACTTCATGGAAAATATGGTACAGCTAAGAATGTAATAACTGCACAAAATATTACTTTTTAGGCAATAAGAGTAGGAAACAGAAAAACCAATCAAGTGGCAAATACTATGTAATTCAAAGGGAAAAATAGCTTCTTTTTAATGCCACAGTGAAGAGTATTTACTGAATGATTTTATTTATAAATTGTAGTGGTGGAATTTTGGTAATTATCTCAAATACAGTAATCCTGAAGATGATCATGTGTTACAGTTAGTATCTGTTGGAAAAATGAACGATAATATTTGTTAAATTAGTGAAAAAAGCACAAGGTGTAGGTGTTAAATATGATTTATGAAATTTTAGTTGAGTTAGTAATAAACCAGGCCGTTCTTTTCACCAAAGGTAAACTTAAGTATTTTAAGACGTTTGAGTAATATCAAACTTGACTTTATAGGAAATTCCATTTGACCAAAACATTCCATTGAATAATATGGTTTCAAAAGGAAGTAACAGCCAATATCTTTGCAAGGATGAAGAACTTGAAAACTAAGTTCCCAATAATATGTTAAATCTTTTCAGAAAAGGACAGTAGATTTGGGAGGGTGTAAGAACTATATTGTGAGAGGAGGGCCTTAGTGGCTCAGAAAGGCAGAAGTGGAATTCACACTCAAGAAAGAAAAAACAAAACTATGTGTTAATGGGTTAGATGAGGCAAAGGGAAAGAGGACTCTGAATTATCCATGCATAGAATCTATATGGGGGAAAGGGCTTCACTGGGTACATTGAAAAAGCAGAAGAATATATGTTAATGCAAATACTAACAACACACCTGGATGTCAATTTACATCACAGTCCTATCAAGAATCCTGAGACTGACCTCTAACATAGGGATTTAGTGGCCTTTTGGCTATTTTAGAACCCAGGGTCTCCCTGGAGTCTCTGCTAGCCTTAAGGTGAAGAGTAGAGAGAACACAGTAGTAGAATCTGAGGGTCAGGACTCCTTTAAGAGAATTCTCTAGGAGGTGGTAGTAAATGGAGAAACTTTTCTCAGTATTCCTGCAAATGAGTTGTTGCATGAAAAGAGGTGGAAAACACCAGAATTTTACCTTGTAACAGCAGGCAGTCATCCTTGAAAGAGCAGCACCCGGACTTTTGACCTGATTTTTTAGGGGATAAAAAGGGGCTGTTTTCTGAGATCACACATCAGGTGACCTACATGGTTGCTACTGTACTATGGACACAACCTGAACATCTCTGGATTTCTTGTGAGTTCAGACTCATATCTCCCAGAAGCTTAAAACTCTACACAGATTATTATGATCACAAAGAGTTGTTTGCAGAACTTCTATATTGATTTTAATAGACTTTTGCAGAATAACTCTTCACTGATAAAATATCACTATGCTACTAGATTTTGTGAGCTTTCCTTAAAAGGGAACAATACATCCAAATTCGTTCTGCTTAAATCTACTAAGAATCAAAAGAAAAATTAATATTCAAAACCACACTTGAGAAGAAGTCAAAGGCCTGAGAAAGACTCCAACAAAAACACTCAAAAGAAGAAAAAGAACACAATGTTCAGTGATTGGTTGGGGTGATCATTTGCTTTACGGACCTCATAAAATAATTTCTAGCTCCTTTATAATCATCTTCACTAAATCTGAAAACAAACATCAATGGAAAAAACAGATCAAGATTTTACTTCCTCTCACTTTCCCTTCTAACAAGCAGGAAGATAACCAAAAGGAAAAGGAAAGCATATAATTAGTTGATAAACTGAGTGGCAGTTTCTGGTAAGTTTTCCTAAATTTCAAATTAAGCATCATAATGGGTCTCAGGTGAACTAGAGATGTCTCAAGGAAGATGCATATGCAACTATTCCAAAGACACATAATTCTCAGTCTGTGTCTATGGCACAGTTGACAGAAGGACACAGAAATTGACAGTGGGAAATGTAGTAAAAAGTATACAAAACACAGCTCATTTTTGTTTTCTTATACCCATCTGTGAGTCATAATTTCAGTTTACAATATTTCAATATCTGAAAATAAAAATTTAGTAGGGGATACAACAAAAACACATAAATACAACGAACAAACAATTCCATCACAGTAAAGTTTTTAAATTACTAGAAACAAATTGTAATTATCACCAGATATAAAAATGATACTTCTAAACTTTAAATTTCTGACAGCTGTCAACTCACCTCATCTTCAATTTGGTGACTTTGTCTCTTCATTTTTAAAATACTTTCAGATAAATAGATCTTATAGGATAAAAATCTTAGATGGGTCATATGCTATATTCTTTTTTAACCCATTCCTGCTGGCTTGAACTACCAGTGGTACATGCATGACTGTCTCATGGACAAGTGTACCACTTGTACCAACAGTGGTACGAGCCATCTGATGGCGTGGTCATGTGTGTTCCACTGGTGGTTGAAGTCACCCAGCAGTAAGATATATGAATTACAGCCTCATTGTGAACATGTTAAATTATGCCAAAATAACCCCTAGAAAGGGACAAAACTATCCTCCAATCAGAGAGAAGACTAGGTTGCGATTTAGGAAACCTAAATCCCAGACAAAATTAATATTGAACCTTAAGCTAGTTACTTAAGTGTATCTGTAGTTCTTTACCCTCCTGAAAATGGCTAAAGAGATGCTTCTTCCTTTTTCCATTTTTCCTTTCATTCTGGGGAATGAAGGTATGATCAAATGGCCTATGTTATACTTAGCATATTCTTCACCTCCACCATTAGTGCTACAACATTACCCATTTATAATATAGACATAGTGAAGAATCATGAGTACAGTATTACAGGTACAATCAAAAGAAGGGAAGCATCAGTACTGCACATTTCAGGAAGAGCCCAATGACAACCTGATGACATACCTTTGGCTCAGACCCACTGGACCCCTCTTCTTCATGAAGGTTAAACCGTGGCTTGCCATCAGCAGCAGAAGTCCTACTCATCTTTTTCATACTGACAGGCACACAGGGTTTAGGCTCTTCTATTATGAGCTTGCTGGTTTCTTCCAGAGATTTCTGATACACTGCTAGGGGTGAAGGTGGTTCCTCCGCACGACCAGATCCGTGCATTTTTGGTTTCAGAGTTTCCTTAGCACTCTGTTTTGCTATATCATTTTGGGATTCTGGAAAGTGAGATTTTGTCTTTGCTTCTGGAGTGACTTCTGCATGGCTTCCATTTGCTTCAAATTTTCCAGGTTCTCCTTTGAGATATGAGGTAATAGAATCTCTACACTGATCAGGGCTGGAAAAAATAAAATGCGCAAATTACAATGGCATTGCATGGCTCCAGGACCTCTAAAGTTTACTGCTGCATAATGTAGGAAGGCAGGAAGGATTTAAAATGTGAGGGGCCATTACGATGGGGGTATGAGGAGGTACACATAGGCTCCAGGCCTTCCCTACAATCCAACTCCCAATCTAGCCAGCTGTGCTGTCTTTTTAAAAGACTTGTACCTCGGGGCTGGGTACTTAGCTTAGTGGTTCTGCTGCCTGCATCGCAAGCGCAAGGACCCGAGTTTGATTCCTGGTACCAAAAAAAAAAAAAGAATTGTACCTCTACAGCTACTTAAATTCTATATCTTGAAAAGTGTTCATGGGCGTATTTATAGTTCCAACCCCACCAATCTAAAAGGGGAAGATATTTCAGAAGACTGTTGTATTACTAGTAAATATCAAATAAAACATCTCCAAACAACAAAGTGAATTGCTGAGATGAAACTCTGGCATTCCCAAGAACCTCAAATTTGGGTTCTGTATATGTTTTCAGCTCTGAATCCAGTTTTCACACTTTTCCAATTATGACACCTCTACCTGAACCTCATCACTTTCCACTCCTGACTTCTGCTGATTTCCCTAGTGAGCAGATATTGGTACACCCCATTGTCTCTGCTTATTTTGAGGAATGGTTTCCTTAACCATTAAAAATCTTTCTTTTAAATTGATTTCTAATGTTTTTATTAGTTTTAATATATTCTTTATTTTGTAGCTTGTATATAATTTTTAGTGTCTTTGCTCATAACTTGAAGGGAGCATGTAGTACAGTAATATTTATAATAATTTATAATATATATCATCATGCCTATTCTTTTAAATCAAGTTTTGATTATCTGAATACATTTATTTAAAAAAGGATATTAATAGTACACCCTACTCTGTATGTGTGAACACAAACTCATTATACTGTGAAAATCCTGTAAGATCCATCTTTATGACTTCTAATATTCAATTCCCCCAACCACACTGTTTGCCTGAGTTCCCCTACCTAGGCTCATACCAGAAGCAAAGTTACAGTCATTTTCCTGCTTTTATTGAATAAGATGTCTGAGTATTTCTTCTATATAATTTATCGGCAGAGCCTATATTAAATGAGGGATTCCAGCTAGTTTAACAATAATGAACATCTTCCCTATATCTAAATTTACTTCTTGATAGGCAACTATATTATGTTAACTATACCTGAACATAAACATCAAAGTTAGTACCATTTATCTTTTCTGTAGTCTCTTTGCTAGGCTGTATATAGAATTTATTACTGCCTTTAGTTTTCAAAAAGAGTTTTAAAACTTCTCTTTGAAAATTTAATAAAATCTCTCTTTGGGAATTTTTGTTGAGCAAGAGGTTTACCAGAAACATGAAAATATTATATATGCTTATGAAATAGTAGCAGCTCTCTTATATCCAACTTAAATTTATCACTAGTAGCCACCAAATAAAATACATTTCAGTCCAATGTGTGAGTAAGTAAAACTAATGCCTACTTTTACCAAGAGATTACCATTTGCACAAGTCATCTGGTAGGTAGTTTACCTGTTTTCTTTTCTGATCTATATTCTTGTCTGAGGGAAATGGTCATGGAAATAAGATTAAAGTGACATTGTTAGAGCTTAGAATTTTATCCAAAGTTGCAAAGTATCTATCTAATGGTGGGAGGATTTGACTTAATGTTTCTGGGACTATAGACTTATCTTTGTAGAGCAGGGCCAATATAAAAATGAACCAGGTTCATATTCTGAGAATGACTTTGGCCATAAGCAAATGTCTTTCATGGCATTTTAAAAGAATTATATACAGAAAAGTAGGAAGGTAGGTAAAATGTTAACAGTGTTTTTCTCAGTATGGCAGGAGGACAGATGCTTATTCTTTTAGCTTGTTTGTATTTTCCACTTTAAGGTTTTTTTGGGGTTTTTTTGGTACAGGGGATAGAACTTGGGACCTTGCACTTGCAAGGCAGGCAGCGGCATCACTGAGCTAAATCCCTGGCCCCTCATTAAGCTATTTTTTAAAAATATACACAAAGATAGAAGTCCACCAAAAACATTTTGTTTTTCTTTTTGGTGCTGGTGACTGAACTCAGGGCCTGGCATGTGGCTTTACCTATAAAGTGCTTTCCCTATAGCACTTCCACCAACATTTTAAGGGCAGTTATTCCTACATGATGGCATTACATTTTTTAAATCTTTGTTTTTAAAATTTTGTATAATGTGCGTATTTGTAGCTGGAAACAAGAAATTTTTATGGGACAAGAATACTACAAGCAATAAATTAGAATAGTCTTCTAAGTAAATGAAATACAAGTCTCTGACATGTATGTTAATTTTTTTGTCTTTCCACCTCAGGTTTTCAAAATTACATTTGAATTTAAATTCACTTTTCTCTTTCAGATTAGCATAATGGACCACCTTTCAAAGCAGGTATTATCCAAAAGCTGGGATGGTAATTTAGAAAAAGTCATGCTAAAAAGCATCTACTTAAAACAAAGCATTTAAAAAAGATACACAGCACTTCACTTTCCTCCTCTTCATGAAACAGAGTCATACCTGTCTTCCAGTCGGTCTAGTAACCCACCAGTTATTCTTCGAGCTTGACCAGGTGAATCTACGTTTCCACTTGATGTCTCGTTCTGCCAACCTGTAATTGAAGACATTTCCAGTTCCGCTTGCTGAACACGTTTAAGAATAGCCTGTACTTTTTCTTCTGTCATCTCCTCAGACTCTACTCCTTCTTCAAGTTGAATGTCCTCAAACAGAGATTTGAGTTTTTCTTCCGTCATCTCCTCATCAGGACCAGATTTTCCTTTCTCCTGCTGCTCAGAGCTTATGCCTACTTTTCTAGTCTGTTTTAATGGGTCTGCTGCTTTAACATCTTTTGGGACCCCAGCCAAACTTCCGAGGTATTGAGGATACTCACTCAGACATACATCCTCCAACTGGTTCTCATCTACTTCCACTGCTTCAGGCATTTCTGTTAAAGGCACTGAGTCTTCCATTTTGCTGTCTTCTAAGGAAGTGTCTTCTGCAGTTACAACGGGAGGTCCATCTGCTGATTGCACTACATATCCCTGGGAAGGCACTAGCCCATCACTCAGTCTACTAGGGGTCCTAAGGGGAGACTCTATGCTAGAGAGATCACTAAAATAATCATCTTGCTGCAAAGGGGTGGGTGGTGTGTAGTGCAACCCTGTGGGGGTCTCCAGTTCCACTTGAAGGGGAGGATAACCTATGGAAGACAGTACATTTGGACTGACTGGGATGAATTAGAACACATGAAACAAAAACACATGGAATGACTAAAAGTATATCAGGTATGAAAATGCATGATGAATTACAGAACAATGTTGATAATTTATTGGTTTAGTTCAGTTAAGTGAAATACAATGAAATAAAAAGCCTAGTGCAAACTCCAATAAAATAGAAATGCTAATGATATCAATTGCTTATCAATTTTGGTACATTTAATACATTAACTTAAATATACAGACTAATTCAATATAAAGTTGTCATTATTTAAGACATTTATTTCATGGCCAATTATCATTCTAACTTTAGCATGCAAAATTCATTCTGTGGTAGACTGAATACAGCAAGCCACAAGAAAACAGTTTTGTAATTACCTATAACTTATTTTAAAAATGGTACATATGAGCAATACAATACAGCTTTAATTCTTGTTTTATAAGAAATTTACAGGATATACGAACTTAAATCTTCAGAAAGAAATGTTAGATTTTTTAGAGCATTAGCACTGGGTAAAACTCTGAAGAGATGTTAGGAAAAGGACTTAAAAAGTAGAAAAGAGTCCATGTAAAGCTTCCAGGTGTCATAATGCAACAGAGATGAAAGGGTTGTGGTATAAATGAAGGTCTTGGTGAAGTTGTTGGTGGGGTCCTTAGAAACATGAATCAAATAAAGGGACGAAATGATACACAATAGAGAGAGGAGGAAACCATTTGCAAAGCGCACTCTGAATATTCTTGACAATGCTATGAAACATGGAGTTCATTAACCAGCCTATAGGAATGGGAAAGAGGGAGCTCATCTGTGCTTTTAAACAGTGCTGTGTGGACTACAGAAGTATTTTTCTACCTTAGCAGAGAGAAAAGTCAACAGTGGTCTGGTCATGGTGAGGAAAGGAAGTTTTGTAGAAATTCAATGAAGAGGAGAGACAGGAAAACACTTTCAAAAAGCAACAATGCACAGTTCTCGAATTATTGGTCTAGACACACTGAAGACTACTTTTCCCACCAAGCCAAGGTAAATACCATCTTAGCTATTATTCTCATTCAAATGACTATAGGTAAAGGGACAGTTTTCAGTTATAGTCATTTGTAAACCAGAATCTTGTTGGAAAATTAGGCAAGATTACCTGAGGTTTATAATGTATGTAAGTGAAACTCCTAAATTTACCTAAGTAGTTTCATCTTTTTGAAACTCCAAAGTTTAAGTAATTTTAATACAAGGAATATAAATACTAAGATACAGCAACAAAAAGCCCACATGAACTTAATGATTCTCTGATTTTAAAATGTTAAATGAAGCTTCCAAGAAAGCTGCTTTTGTGACCTTTTTAATTAGAGCTACTTTTCTTAGTTTTCTTCTCAATAAAGAATATTCTTAGAAGAATATATAAGCTGTAACTTGTCAATAATATAGTTTGCTATATATTATCTCTACTTACACAGTACAAAAAGAATTTGATTACCAAAACATGGCCTCACATATAAGGCATGGTCTTGAAGAGAGCTTTTCCCCCAAGGTTTTATTGTATTTCTATGCTTTAGAAAAAAAATCCACTTTTATTCAAGTGTACCTGTTATATGCATAACAGGTACACTTGAAATTTTCTGTTGATTTTAGTAAGCAGAAATTTTCTAACACTTTGAGATCTTTTCTCACATAACATTTGGAGAATTAGAAGTTAATGATTCCTGTTATTCTAACTTTGCCAGTTTTAAAAAAGGAAAAATCAAGACAGGCAGGTGGTGGCTACCTGTAATCCCAGCCTTCATGAGGCTGAGGCAGGAAGATCACAAGTATGAGGCCAGTCTGAACTACATAGAGAGTTCAAGGCTAGCCTGGCCTGGACTAAATGGCAAGACTCTGTCTTAAAGGAAAAAACAAATGTTTTTTAAAACTTGGAGTAGTAGAAAAGTATCCCTCAGTCCTCTCTCTGCTTTCACACCACCAATGTATTCTACTCAAAGTTCATTGTAGGAATAAATTTCCATGTGTGAAGGCAAGACAGGGCTATTTTGAAAAAGAGAATAAGGTATTTATTATGCTTTTCTTAATACTTTGATGAAAAAGCCCCGATTTACCTAAGGGAAGATGACAATATTATATAAATTCAGCTAATGTGAAAGAATTATGCTATTAGTGATATTTATGCTCATTGTACTAGAAAGTATGCTGCCCTTTATATACAATAGTTGAGAGAGGGTTTCCCAAATAAAAAATGACATCATATGAAATTACAGTAATGTTTAATAATTAAACACTCTTGACAAATTAGACTTTTCTAGTGCATCCTTAAATACTTAGTCCCAGCACAGTAATTTACCATTTTACCTTAAGAATTTGTACACTTTTTACTGACTTACTACTTTGCTTCTCTGGTAGAAACAGGCTCGCAATTTGGTTTCACACACATATAAATAAAAGATCACTAGTTTTTTAGGTAAATATAAAAATTGAAAATGACAAAAACAATGCTTTTCTAGGTATTCTACTTTCTTCCATTTGGCCACATAAAATATCAGAAATACTAACTCTTTCCAATAATGAACGTTTTTATATCTCATTATTTGCATTGTATATTACAGAGGCATTTACCAGGCTTGCTCTGCTATCAGAGTGCTTATTTGCAGACTCTGGCAGACAAAATGCTGTGAAAATGAGAAATTAAGTCAAGCAAATCACATTTTAGTTGATTTTAAGTGACTGCCTTATATAACTGCACTTTCAAATTTTATCAAATGATTAAATAAATATGAACACTAAATTCAATTACCATCAACAGGGTCATGGAAAACACTGTTTTCATCTGCAAAACTTCTGGTGCCTGAAATATTTCCATAATCAAATATTGGTCCTTCTAGCAGAGTCACTATATCTATCCGATTAATTTTTGTCAAGACCGAAGTTAAGGCATCAGCTGAAAAGAAGAGAAAAAAGGTTGAAACCAAATTAAATTATTTTCTTTTTGTCAGCACAATATCCATACAAAGGCATGGTTTTTGCTGCCCGCTTGGATTTCACAACTCCTAATCCAACTCTGCGAGGCCATTATCAGAACTACTGCTACAGGGAAGTTAGGATCTTAAGGAACACTTTGCAAAGCTGTGTGTAACAGGGCGACAGCAGACATAACAGAGCAGATGGGCCTTAAAATAGCTAGACTCCTTTTCTAAGGGGATCTAACATAACTTCAAAAAGTTCCTTCTCTTTTTCAGAATGTCAAAATAGCTCACTGCTGTATAATGCATTTTAATGAGTTACTAAGGTCAGGATGACCCAGGCAAACCCACAATAACTCATTCCACATTGCCATGGTTTAGCACTCGCCAAAGTGTAGCACCCCCCTCCCCCAATCCCAACCCAACAATATCAGAGAATTCTCCGCAGTGATAGAACCCAGACCCAGCTGAATTTGACTACTTGATCCCTAACTTGGTCCTGTCCTCTTCTCTGCAGTTCTACTTCTGGCCACAGCAGTGTTTCTGATGACCTTCCCATGATGTAACAACTAGAATTAATTTTCCATTTTTGATGGTCACAGAGTGAATGGCAGACAAAATGAAAAATATTCCTTTCTGGTTGCTTTTCAAAAAGCTTCTTGAAAGCAGACCTTTAGAATGTTAGCGCTCAATTCAACAAGCATAATGTCAAAAGTCTTGCTGTCATTTTATGATCACTCTGTGTTTAATTTCCTATATTGTATTTAAAAGTACAGGAAATTTAAACGAACATTTTTGTGAACCTAATGGTAGGCTTATCTAAAGTATTTGGTACATGCAATTTTGAAAGTTAAAATAATATAATTTTAGCATACTTGTAGCATTTTTCCCGTCTCTGGTAACCCATTTTTTTAATAACATGAAGCTTTGAGAAATTAAGGAGTTTGGATTTTCCACACGTATTTGATTGATTTCATCCACTGAAAAATTCAGTTCCCTTGCCAGTTCTGTAAAAAGAAAGAGAGTTACTAAGATTGCATATTCTACTTTTACTACACACATTTTATAAAAGTAATGTTCAGCTGATACCAAGAAAAAGGAAAGGAATTTTATAAAAAAAGCCTATGGATGGCCATGGGCATTCATCTTCATGTACTTGATTTCATAAGAAACTAATGATTATACTCAGGCTGTGTGATTCACCTCTCCTTAGGTAATTACTTATAATCAAATTCCCTTGAGAGAGCATTCTATAAATATTCATTTTTTTTCTTTTTTTACAGAGAGGATGTTGCTTGCTTGCATTTAGTTCAGCCAAATTCTCTGTAATTTGAGGAAATGGTGTACAAGACGGATACACAATTCATACGTATGACACATGAGATAGGAGCAGAGTTGCCCTAAGCCATCTTCTTGAAGCACATCTTTCACATAATGCCTTCTGGTTGCATGAACTCCACTCAAGAGGTTTAATGGTGGATGATGCCAGGTTATATTGTTATATATGATACACAGTAACTTCTGTAAAAAATAAAAGGGATCTAGCTTTCTGCCCATGCATCGCTTCATACACTCAATCTCATAAATGCTGAGAGTATCTCTGGAAAAATATAGATGACCTAGGCTGCCCTGGGAGAGGGGAATTTGAAAGACTTTTCACAGTATATTTCTGTGTACCTTAAAAATTATCAAGTGTGTATTACCTTAAATGATTATAAAAAGAAATGCAATAAATTAACCCATGGAAAAGAAAATGGTTTAGATTCTGTCTATTAAGAAGTATTTCCAGCAAGTTAGCAAAATGAGCTTGTACAAGTCTTTATCTTGTGACCAAGTTTGATATCCTAGTGACACAAAAGTTACATAAAATCTCTAGCATAGGTTACTGTTCACTGCAGATTTGAACTACTGAAGAATTGAAAACAGTCCACTTGTTAAAAAAAGTTAATCACTGCAAAGCAGAGCTTGCAAACTATTATGCTCAAAGTCTATAATTAGAAATACATAATGGTGTTTATATAAATGACACCAGATCTCCATGGAACAAAATTTAGTTTTTAATACATGCAATATATAAATACTTTTTTATATCCCACTAAATACAAAATAATAGTCATGACTCATTAGTGCATTGTGACGACATCAAGTGTGCTAGTTATTCATTAAAGTCAAGATCTAATTTTGTAAAAAATTATAAAATTTGTAACTATCAGTTATGAATAAAAAAACCTGGAAATTATTTTAAAAACAATGCACATGAAGAAATTAATGGTGGTTAAATTTTCTAATAATCTTCATTGAACATGTTTTTAATTAGAGAAGTTAATTATATATTTTTTAAAGTTCTTCATCTCTTTGTGTTTAAGTGACAATACTCCTACTGCTCAACAAGCCCAAACTTTTATCTGTTTTCTGGATACACAATGAAAAGCAAGGAGCTACTGACATGAAGAATTTTATAATTTGGCTTTATATCTGGCTTCTTTTTTTTTAACCCCCCCTGCAGTGCTAAAGGTTGAATAGAGGGCCTTGAGCATTCTAAGCAAGCACTCCACCACTGGGGCTGTAATCCCTGACCTACCTAGCTATTCTTAGGTCCTATATTCTCCAAAAATTTACTCTGACAAACACAGGGCTTTTAAAAGTTGGCTTAAGGAAAATCTAGTAGTTATGGGCATATAATATCGCAAAAATCAACATTTGCTCCAAGCTCCAATATATTTTCAGATTTGCATCTGATGTTGAAATATAAGCTTGATGACATTTGTCAGCAAATATTTATAGAGAGTCAGTTTCTTTTTTTTTTGTTTTGGTAAATGAACTTAGAACTTTCTGCTTGCCAGGCTGGCGCAGTGCCACTGAGCTATATCCCTGGCCCTAGAGCAAGTTACTTTTAACTCTCATCCATCTGCAAATGATCATTCAGACTCCCAAGAGCTCCTCCAGGCTCCTGGTCATTAGCAACATGCCTGAGAGCAAGGACAGATATGTGGTGGTGGAGTCAGGCTGGAGAATGGGACAGGGGGACAGAGGACATTCACAGGAAAAATTTAGAAGAAATTGTGCTCCATTATTTGGTTTCACATTCTGTCCTTTCATAATGGATAACTGTATGGACTGTATGTGGTATGCAAGATGACTTTAGATATGGCAATGACATTATTTTAACCATGTTTTTTGGGGTATGCATTAAAAAATACATTTAGCCTATGAGACTTGTAATTCAGACTTAAGTGAGGCAAGATTTTAGGGTCAAAACTACAGAGTGGGCCAGGCACAGTAGTACACCATGTCATCCTAGGTAATCAGGAGGTTGAGGCAGGAGGATTACAAGTTTGAGGCCAGCCTGGGCAATTTAGCAAAAGCCTATGTCAAAAAATAAAAAGGGCTGGGATACAGCTCTGTGGTGTAGTATACCTGGGTCTGGACAAAATAAAACTAAAGAACTACAAAGCAGCCCTGCCCAACTGACACAGACCCTGATCTTTGTTTTTATGGAAGCAAAATGAAGCCAAATATTCCCTTCAAATGTACTGATCGAGTCCCGTGGGACACGCCGAATCAGCCCGCTACAGACAGGCAGGTCTGTGCACGCCCTACCGAGGTCCTGAGTCTCGCGGAAGACCCCGAATAACCTCACTGCAGACAGGCGGGTCTGCCCACACCCTACCGAGGTCCCCAGTTGCACAGAACACACGCCGAATCAGCCCGCTGCAGACAGGCAGGTCTGTGCACGCCCTACCGAGGTCCTGAGTCACTCGGAAGACACCAAATCACCCCGCTGCAGACAGGCAGCCACCTGATTCCACACTACAAAGACGCAGAGGACACCAGACCACCAGACCAAGGTACTGAGTCCTACTGTTCCCCGCCCAGAGGTAGGGGC